CAATATAAAAGTGAAATACTCCGAAACGTCGATCGATCAGATCCTGATTCGGAGATAACAATGTTTGAGTTGATGTTGAAAGCCTCAGCTTTATATACAACGATGTGTACTTCAAAACCCGAAGGTACATGCTGTTGGAAATTGGCCTTTAGGGCACTATGTAATATTAAAGCGAGGATGGTCCAAAGGGAGAAGAATGGAATTATAGGAGGACCAAGATGCGTGGTGGATGAAGTGTGGAATTCATTGAACGTAGATAAGGGTTGGACCAATCGTAATCAGGGTTAGGTTTAGAAACAATAGAAAAATAGAAGAAATTATCTTCAGCATCATACACATATGATTCGCGTTAAATTATTCGCCTAACGATTGTCGGAACGACTTCAATGTATATATTTTGTAACATGAAAAAAATTCTGTAGATAAGCTTTACCAAAATGTGATTCATTATAATATCATAATTTAATTGAATTTCCTTAATAAAGGAATTCTTTTGGACATTGATATTTCTCATATGCACTCAAGTTCAGTTGGTACATTGAGAACTATAAAATGTTATTCATAAATAAGATGAAGCAGAATAGAACGCAGAGCTCTTTGCTAATAGAATAAGTTATAGCGATTTAAAAAGGACGAAATTAAACACTGTTCATACTTTGCAAGTTGTAGTTATGTTGTGCTGTTTTTTATTGGCGAGAATAATATTTCGGACGTATAATTTGACGATATACTGTATTTCTTTTAACATTTGAATGAATGCTACTGTAATTTGTTTATTGAAAGGGCTGGAGAAAACCGAGATAAACATTTATAAAAAACAATACCACGAAAGCGAGTGGCTTTTTTTTTTTTAAAGGATTTCTTTTGTTACGTTTCGCTTCACACGAAAAAGCATTTATTCAGATTTAAATTACAATGAATGTAGACCTAACCTTTTTTGGAAAATCATCATTTGCATATGCATCTGCGCTTACTTAATCGATAAAAACGGTTTTCCACTTTAGTCAATGTTCACACACGCAATATCAATGCTAGACGTTAGTTATACATAACGTGTTGGCGATTTAGAATGCGTTTTTTTAAGGTATCTTTTCGTAAGGGATTGTTTTTTGATAAAATAACTGTATTTGGCGAAAGGCTTGCGACTTTTGTTTAAAATAATTTTATTATATTTAATCGAGAGTTTTATTTAATCTTTTTAATTATAAGTTAATAGCAATTAATATAAAATTTTATTAATCGTATTATCCATAAGAAAAATTATTTACATCGTAAATGTAAATTTTTTGTTGTATGTGCACTATTAAATATTTATACAGTACATTGTATTATTTTAGTTTTATACTGTGTATAGTTTAATATTATTTATTTGCATTGATAAAAACATGGCGTTTTTTCAATATGAAAAGTAAATACTGTACAAAGGTATTTTTTTTGGAAAACCCATTTTATTTATATTCAATATTCTGTTATAAAAATTTTTAAATTCAAATACACTAATAATAAATATATAATATACTATTTATATACATATTTAAAAAAAAACATTTTAGCGTTGACACAATTGATTTTTTTCATCTCAATATACAGTATATTTTTTATTAACCTTTACTATATACCGTAATAATTTGATAGAAATAGAAATTTATGGAATGATTTGGAAATATTTTCATGTCCCCAAATTTTAAAATACCGTGACTCATCTCTTGGCATTATGGATTTATAATAATCTACAGTATGTTGTACGAATACAGTATACACATGTATACAAAATTTGCAACAATATTGTTCTGCACAAGTTTATTTAAAATTTTTAGCATAGGAAGATAAGGTTATATTTGTTAAACGCATCGGTTTGACTTTGTTCGCTTGGTCAAGTCTTTCGACACATACACGAAATCGTTTATTGATTAGTATCAGACCCATCGCCTAACTCTTTGCAATCGCGCATTCGTCCACATAATATACTTACTGTCCATACGGCACGCATGTAATCTTATTTTTTCTATTTTTACTTATGAATTCACCGGCTTTCTAATTTTAAATCATGAATTAATGGAATTTAAACTTGTCGAGTAATTAAAACGAAAATCTTAATCAGCAAGATATTCCCATAATTTATACTGTTGGTACGTATTAACGACAATTCGATGTAAAATTTCCTTATTTAGGATCATATAAATGTCAATAATGTAGTAGCAAGTACGTGGTAAAAATTAGTACGCATGAGGAGAACGTAATTAAATAAGAATCACCCCCATTGAGGACAATCATCGATATCTCGAAATATGATTAAATAGAGGTGTTTCTTTTGTGAAGACGGGTACCTCGATTCTTTGGCAATTTTCGCGTAAATAGGAGTCTTGGAATCTATCGAACAATCTACAACAGAATAATGAATGCGATGAATAATTTGATAATATACATCCTATCCGTTGCTTTGGCATTTTTTATTGCACCGACGTTGTCGTTGTCGTTGAGCAATGATCCATGCGCCAGAATTGCTAAGAAGGGCGTAAGTCACTTGTATGACGATGTTAAAACGTGTTATCTGAGCACTCCGTTTAACGTTAGCGTAGCGAAGAGGGTAAATATTTAACTTGAGTCCTTTTTAAAATCGAATTCTTATTGATAGATCACCTCTTGTTTCTCTCGTTTCCTTAGACGCTTCAGACATTGAATGATTTGTTCAAAGATCTCTACGTTTTCACAGACCAATCCAAAGAACCGGTAAAGGAAGGATTCGACTTTACTCCATTAGATATTCTAAGTGTCCTCGACACATTCCTCGATAAAAAAAGCTACTCCACGGACTTTGAATTTAATGTAAGCTTTGATTCGCCATATTACATGCTAGCGTCATTGTCATTTACTGTTTCTTTTTTTCTTCGCAACAAAAATAGAAAGATCTACGCTTTACCGTCAAGAAATTGCGCGATGGTCATACGGATTTTCAAGCTGGTTGCTATTTGAACGATATCGTATTTGACCAACAAATATATTTATATTCCGTGGTTAAGGACGGAAAGCAGGTGACGCTGTTTTCTGGATGCCCTACCTTATTTGAATTTGGTTGAACTAACATACCTTAAAAAATACTATTCATAGATAATAAAGGTGTTTGATGACACGATCGATGGAAAAAATGTAGACTGCGAGGTAACGCAGATTAACTCGAAACCCGCTCTCCAGGCAATTAAAGAGTTTGCTCAAACTCAGTTGTCCTCGTCAAGAGATCTAGGAGTTCGATTCAACGATGCACTTGCCTCCGTTAAAGAGATCGCAATTGCCACAACTTCAAACCAGTTTTCGGTGAGAACCGATCTACCCGAGTCCGACTCAATCACCTATACCCTAGAATGCCCGAATCGAAGACCGTTTCAGTTCGTACGGAAATGGAATATTACCACCGTGGATCGCTTTTTGGAGTGGCAGGATATGAAAACTTTTCAGAGTTATTGTTTTTCCGAATTTTTCCTTTCATACATCCCAACACAAAAGAAAGCCGTAAATTCTCCACCATTTACTTATGGGAAGGCCAAACAGGTATACAATGCGTTGGCTGCAAATGCATATACCTTAGGAGAAGATATTGGGATAGTTGAGATTGGAACTTTTTCCTTTAGAAGAGTCCACGATTCGTTGGCATTTGAATATCAAGGGGCTTTTCAGGAATTGGCCAAAAGGAAGGTCAAAAAGGTATTCGCATTTCACTTTGCGGGAGTTTCCAATTACTCTTGATCTTTTTTTTTTTTTTTGGTCGAATTAACTTATTCATCGATCCTTACAGGTTGTGATTGATTTATCAAATAACCCCGGTGGATCCATCAACTTTGCTGTTTTCCTTAGTGGACTGATAGTTCCTTCCAAACATTTTGCATTTCCAACAGACCTCCGAGTTCCGCCGACTATCCAGCAAGTGATTCGAAATGAAAGCCGGCCGGAAAGCGATGGTGGTTTTTATAATGCAAGTTCATGGAATTCCTTTGAAACCGGAAAGCCCTTTGAAAATGCGGAACAATTCATTGGTAACCGAAGTCTTACCCGTGGGGGCACAACCGATGAATATTCGGCACTATTTATCGATCAGTTACCCGACCTATTACTTGAAATACTAAAAGATCAACGCAAAAGTCCAATCCAATTTCCATGGGACAAAGATTCCACGATTATCCTTACGAATGGTCATTGCGCATCCGCTTGTGCACTGGTTTCAAGATATTTTGCGGAGATCGGCCAATATCCAACAGTTGCCGTGGGGGGATTCTTAGAACAACCATTATCGTTTTCAACATTTCCTGGTGGCGAGGTAATCGATAATGGAATACTCACCGAATTACCTGCTTACAAGCCATTCATATCAAATGTAGCACTAGATTTCACCATCCGGGAAGCATATAGCTTGAAAAACCCGAACGAGGTTCTGGACTTTCAATTTAGACCTGCTACTCATAGATTGTATTATGATGAGAAAAACTCTAGAGATATTAGTTTACTGTGGGAACAGGCAGCAGATCTCTTAAAATAGTCATCTTTGTTTATCGCCATAGAAAAAGAAGGACGTAGATACAGTATAACGGGGGAATTCAATAGAATCGACTTTCTTCAGGCATGTCAAACATACATTATATACCGTAAATGATACTTTTGTTTGCCTTGGAGGTTTATGTAAAATAGGTCGAGCAGCGCGTAATGGGTCCCTTACGTGTGCATACAGCATTTTGTTTCATTTTGAAATTTTATCATATAATTCACAATATACTTATTCATACAGTACAGTATCTATTTTAATCATATGATTATACGATCAATATTATTAATATGTATTTAGATTCTGCGTTATTTTCAATATGTTAATTGTTAATTGATAATTGATATACAGTACGTCGTTTACCAATTGATAAATAACCAAGTTTTTTTTTTTTTTCAATTTTATTTTACTTTAATGAAATTAGGTATATATATATTTGTAAATTATAATTAATATTGAAAATAAATATTAATACAATATACTATATTAAAAGGGGATAAGTGATTTTATTTTCTTATTCAAAATAATATATAAATTGAAAATTTGAAAATTTTGCAAATGAAAAAATTAAAACCAAAAATAATTATTATATAAAGTCTTAATACAACTTTTTTAATATTAAATATTTTATCAACTTGATACAAATTAATATATTTGATAATATTTTTAACATAAGATTTTGCAAGATAGTTTAAATAATATAATGGTTTATTGTTTTTGATATTGTTATTTATATTAAATAAAAAATAATAAGTTTTTAATTAAAAAATATTAAATTAAATAGTTTAAAGTATAAGATTTTAAACTGATTAATTTTAAATTGAAAAATTCAAGTTATTAATTTTTTTAAAAACTAATATTAAAATGATGATTATATTAATAAAATTATTGAAATAGAATATATTTATATTTAGAAAATTTTTAAAATATTTTTAAAAAAATATATGATATTAATAAGAAACAAAATATAAATTATTAAAATAATAAAAAAGTAAAAGTATGAATTTTAATTGATTAAAACTTTTAAATGATATAAGATAATAATACAAAATTTATCTAGTATATAAAAATTTAATTATCTTATTTCAATATTGTATTACTAAATAATAGATTTTTTATTAAAGAGAAACAAGTGTTGGATAATTTTATTTGTTTAACTTATAATATTCAAGATGATGTTAACTTATAATACTCTCTATTTTTAAAATAAATAAAAAATTTATAAACATATTTTAAATATATTATCAATTATATTATTGTCAATAAATTTTAATATTTGTTCTATAATAATATCAATTCAAATAAGATATTTATAGGATTGTTGAAAAAAAATTTTGTAGCATCAAGTCTTGTTCTTTTACGTGGTAATGTAAAAACTCTTAATTAAACGAGTTCATTTAATATACTGTATGTAATTGAGCTTGTTGGTCAAATATATAATAATTCTTTTTTCGTATTTATTTTTTATTATTAATAGTATTAATAGGTAATTCGTACATACCGATTTTAAAATAACATGTGATTTTTTAATTTATAATCGACACATGTTAATTAATAACGCAAGAATATTATCTTTGTAGTGTAGTCACTGAAATTTGATAGCTATAGGATATACAGTATATACAGTATATCAAGTATATTGTTGTAACTATGCATTGTACCCTATAAACCGAAAATTATGATTTTCCCATGAATAACGTGACAACCTTTATATCATATTCCTTTTCCCTTCTGCTCGCGAAAAATATCGTTCAACCTTTTCGCATAACCGGAAAAGGTACTCGATTGAGTCCCGTAAAGTTTACTACTTCGCGACGCTACCAACAAATCTACGATTGGGACCAAGTGTTTAAACATATTTGTTCCGTCTGATGGATTTATTATGTTCTTCATTGGTTCAAGTCGAAAATCTTCCAGCATGTAGACACA